CATAGTGCAGCGAATTAAAATTCAGCGGCTCCGCTGGCTTGGCCATGCCGTTAGAATGGACTGAAACGCTCCTGCTCTAAAAGTATTTAACGCGGGCCGCGATGCTGGTAACAGAGGAAGGCCTCCTCTGCATTGGAAAGACCAGGTGGAGAAGGACTTGGCTTCACTTGGCATTTGCAATTGGCGTCAGTTAGCACAGAAGAGAAATGACTGGCGAGCTGGTTTGGACTCGGCCAAAATCGCTTAGGCGGTTACAGCGCCAATAAAGAAGAAGAAGGTGGATAGACATTATAGAGAATGCTGGTCTATTGTGTCATATAAACCTAGCAGTTTTAGGGACGACAGAGAGTTAATATACTTATGTAGTCTCCGGCTAAAGTTTCCCACATTTATTCGTCTTCCTTAGGTGACCGCTAGGTATTTTCANCAAAATCGCTTAGGCGGTTACAGCGCCAATAAAGAAGAAGAAGGTGGATATACATTATAGAGAATGCTGGTCTATTGTGTCATATAAACCTAGCAGTTTTAAGGACGACAGAGAGTTAATATACTTATGTAGTCACATTTATTCGTCTTCCTTAGGTGACCGCTAGGTATTTTCGCAAAGAGTTGCATTGGGATTTCCGCCGTAAACGTCATTATACCTGCTATATGCCTGAACCTTAACTTTGGGAGAGTAATTACCTACCTAAATCTCTAGGAGCTGAAATGAGTTCTCTCAGTCAGCTTTTATAGGTAGCCTCTGCTCATAACTCTTCCAGCCTAAAATGCCCATAGAACTTGCATAGAATACTTGGCTAACCCTAATAGCCCAGTTATGCATACTTGCACTGCCATACCATTTTTACGTAAAAATCAAAACCCAACAGAATTCTACATGTTAAGTGCAATGTGTTAGGTAGCCGCTTACACGCAAAGCCTGTTTAACAGATTCTTATGTGACAACTCTCATGCAAAGCTAAGTATGCATAACTGGGCTAAAACCTCGTAAAGCCTTCTCATCTTCTTTCAATATCTTCCACATTTTTTGTGTCATACAAAAGGAGAGTATGATTAGGCATTTATAGAGCATAATTTGTGTTCGTCAAGAGATGACTCTGCTTTTCAATTTCCTTCCGAGCCCAAGGTAGCACATTTTGGCAAGAGTTTTACTTCGCTTGATCCCCAGGCAGACAAGCAATAAGTTTAAGTTATAACAGTGGTGATTGTCCCAATACGCGAATACCTATGGTCAAGGAGGTACTTTGTGTCGTCCTCGTTCACCGCTGGACCAATATCTTTTGCCTCCTTCTCTAAACTGGAAAATTATGCGTTAACGATTCTGGGGTTGAAACCGACGATTTTAATGTCAACTGCCTAAGATTACGGTACCGCGCTTCTGCAATTCAGATTGACAGCCTGTATTGCCATTCCCGACATTAGTTTAAAGGAATCGTACGAAATTAATTCTCCTCGCCTAAAATCACGTTTGGCCTCGAACAGAGTGGAGGCGTTCTTCCCGTCACTTTAAATATCTGTAATAGTTTTGCAAGGATCCCAAAGTTAGTAATGGCGTCGTGCTCTTGAAAGCGGTTTTCAAAATTTACGAAATGGGGTTGGGTGTCGATTTGCTTATTCAGTGTTTTTCTAGAATGCACTGTGAAAATCTGGTCAAAAGTGGACTAGCAAGTTCTGATGCCAGACTATTAAGGCAAAGTTAGTTGGTTCATGGAAAGCTTCATTCTTTCACACAGTAACGTCTCTTAAAAATTTATTTCATTATCTAAGGCTATTTATTGGAAAAGGTTTCCAATTATACGTTATAGTTCTTAGAACGAGAAATCGTTTTAAAATAAAAAAATATTATACAATTTTTAAATCCTCGTTTACATATACATATGTATTCTGATATTAAATTCTAGATATGCCAAAATCTGAAAGAGGATCCTGAATGGACCGTTGTGCAACCAAATCCGAACGCGATGGGACCTTACGCCTACAGACGCAACCAATGGGTTGGCTACGATGATGAAGCCATTGTACGCAAGAAAGCTCAATATGTCGTCGAAAACGGCCTAGGCGGTATAATGTTTTGGGCCATAGACAACGATGATTTCCGTGGCACTTGCAGCGGCAAACCATATCCACTGATAGAAGCGGCCAAAGAATCGATGTTAGAGAGCTTGGGGTAACAAATATTTAGCTAAACTTAAAATTCCGTATAAACCTCAACGTTATTCCTCTTATAGACTTGGAATTAACGAAGTCGCCAAACCAAACGTGCCCAAGAAGCCTTCACGTTCGCGCAGTCGTGAAAATTCATCTTCGAAACTCAACCGGATTAGTGGCAACAGCGATGGTAAAGGCTCCTCCAGTCGCACAACCTTGAGTAGTGGACGGCGACGAACGCAGTCAGCGACCTCCACTACTACAACACGTGTGCCTGAGACCACAATACGACTCACCAATGCAGAAGGTTCCTCATTGTATATTGGCGGTCGTGTTACAACGCCAGCACCACCGACCACACCAGATCCTGGAGCTGGTGAGTAAGACGCAGGAAAAAAAATTGCTCATATCAATCAAAATTATCTTTGGCTCGTAGATTTCAAATGCGAAGAGGAAGGGTTCTTTCAACATCCGCGCGATTGCAAGAAATACTATTGGTGTCTGGACAGTGGACCGTCTGGCTTAGGCATTGTGGGCCATCAATTTACCTGTCCCTCTGGCCTATATTTTAATCCCGCAGCCGACTCGTGTGATTTTGCGCGCAATGTACCCTGCAAAACCAAAAAGTTGGTGCTGAGTTATATTTAAAAATCTTCTTTAAGTATTTATGCAACAATATTAAATTTTTTAGAACCACGACGGCGGCACCTATCAGCAGTACTACTACAACAACCCCCACGCCCCGTCCCACAGCTTCCCTGAATCGAATCACGTCTGCTACTTCACGCACATCTTTCTTTAGAACTACTTCAACCACTACCTCGACCACTTCATCTCCCATAGAATATGAAGACGAAGAGGAAGAATTGGGAGAGGATTTGCCTACTCATTTTAAAGAAAAAGATGCTGAAGAAGATCCACAGGTCATAAAAGAGCTCATCGAGCTGATTCGCAAGGTAGGTGGAATTGAGGAGCTGGAAAAACATTTGCTACGTAAGGATGATGGCACAATATCAATTAAAAGCAGCTCCAGTGAATCGAATGCGGCCACGACTCAATCGCCGATTAGCAAAGATCTCTACGACAAAGTACTTAGCAAACCCAATACCTACAATTCGTTCCGTAATCGCTTCACATCGTCGTCACTGTTTCGAAAGTCAGGTCAGACGAATAAACAGGAAGAAGCAAACTCCAAATTTGAAAGTGATGAATCACAATCTAGTGAAGGCACCAGTAGTAGTAGTTTTTCAAAATATTCTTCTGTTGTGCGTGGCAACAGCAGGCAGGGTCCCCAAAATGAGGGTCTAGACAAATTGTCGGATTTCGATGGCTTCCTAAAAGAAAAGAAACAATATGTTACAATTAATAGAAATAGAGGCTCATTTAGAGGACAAGAGGATGAAGGTGAAGTAGAAGAAAAACCAGGCGCAGAGCGTGAAAGCAAAGATGATGAAGAGGAGGAGTTGAACATTAAAGATAAAACTACAAGGCGACCGACGAATACAGTGACACCCTCGTATGGGAGCATACGACGTGCGCGACCATCGACGGTGCGAACCGAAACAGAAGAGGAATCTGTTAGCGACGAAGAAGTGAGAACTAATGAGCAAAAAGAAGATAAGCGAACATACAGTACATTTAGTCGGAATCGCGGCAGGTATACAACTACTGAAAGCAACCTAGGACCTGAGGAAGTTGAAACTAATTCAAAGAAGTAAGATAATAATCATAAAAGTTACTTAAGCTTGCAAATAAATGTATGTACATTAGACTGCATCACCAAAAAAAGTTGCGTTTTTTCCGCCGGGATTACAAAAGTTATTATATTTTAAGACGTTCACCAAAATATTTGGGAAAAATATTAAGATTTAAGTGAGCTGGACCGATTTGAAAACACCTCCAAAAATGGAGTTTTTTATGAATAAAAATAGTTTCGTAAAGAACTTTTTGAAAAAACTCCCCTCAGATGACAAAACAGATTAAGCTTAAAAAATCTACATACAAATATTTAAAAATATTTTCAACGGAATCGTAAGAGTGAGATTTTTGATGCTGTTTTTTTTTTTACTTTTTTCAAAGATTGATTTACGAAAAACTTGAATAACTGGGCCAAAACTATTCTAATTTAGACATATGGGATCCCAGTAGATAGGTATTTTAACACTGTTTTTATTTCTGTAAAAAAAAAAATCATTCGTGTCCCAATTTTCTTTTTTTCAAATACCAATACATCTTAATTCAACTTTGAATGACGTTCATTCATCATACCTTTCTCTTTCGTCCTTTGAATGAGTTTATTAGCAAAGAAATAAAAAGGGTTAGAATATACCTTTCCACCGACACCTCTTAAGTCTAAATCAGAATAATTTAGGCTCAGTTATTCAAGTTTTTCTTATACCAATCTTTGAAAAGAGTTAAAAAACAGCATCAAAAATCTCATCATTACGATTCCGTTCAAATTTTTTTTTAATTTTTAAAAAATATTTTTATGCAAATTTTTTAAGCTTAAATCGTTTTATCATTTGAGGGGATTTTTTAAAAAAAAATTTTAAGAAACTATTTTTATTCATAAAAACCTCTATTTTTGGAGGTATTTCACTTAAATCTTAATATTTTTTTGAAATATTTTGGTGGACGTCTTAATATAATAGATTTTATAATACCAATGGAAAAATAGTACAGATTTTTTTTTGTATGAGGAGTGATGCAGTCTAATGTACATATGTATGTATTTTAAAGAAAAAAGTAAGATTTAGAGCAATGGTAAAAAAGAGCATATTCTTGTTAACCGAAAGCACGAGGCTTGAAATCGTAATACTTTCCAAGAGACAATGGCTTATGCCACCTTGAATCAAGGTAGCTATTCTGTAACAAGTTGACGGCAACAAAATATGAACTCAGGTCTATGCTCTGGCATAGAACTAATTGCTGAGTCTTAAACGTGTCCATTTACTATTAAGGCCCTCTACTGTTCGCAGTGTTTGCAATGCTTAGGTTCATGAACTATACAAATGAGAACAGATAGATGGTCAAATAATTTACGTGTTACATGTATAGTAGTAGCTAAACAGCACTGAAGGTTTTTCCCGAATTTTGGTGTGTAATCTGCACTGAAAATTTTATGTAGTTGACGTAACTAAACTTTTTTCTCAGAGTGGCATTGTTTTTACAAATACGTTATTTTTAACCACAAATTCACTCTGGTTTAGTTACCTCGGCACAAGGACATATTGGGGAGGAACTTGATAGGCAGTGAAATCCCAGCATGAAAACAGATGGCTATGTTCTTCTATGTAGTTGCAGAAATTCTTAGATTACGTTACCACATACACTCAGAAAAAGTCGGCTAAATATATTTGTCTCAACACATGATTTGGTAACTATAACCAAATAATGTAACTATAACCAAATCATGTGTTGAGGAAAACGTAACTAAACGACTAACGTCGATGTAACTAAACTCTTGTAGTATTGACAAACAAATATTCAGAATATAGTCTTTCTCTCAATCCTAGAGGTGTTAAGTCGCTTGCCGCTCTTTTAACTGGCTAATATAAGTTTGGTTAACAGCGATACAGTGCTATTTTTTGTCAGAACTAGCACAAAAAACGGGTTCAGGAATCAGCACTCACTATATAAAAACACAGAATATAAACTTGTGTAATACTTCTTAAGCACACACTGAGAAAAAGAATAAAGCATATCGTGGTTGTTCTGCAAATTCAGGAAATGTGTCAAACGATAGCCAAGGTTGTATTTCTTCTTGTTTACAAAACAAAAAGTAATAAAGAAAATCATACAAGTGTCTGCATTTATTAAAATTTGGTTAAATATATATATTTTATAAAATGGAAGTAAACAGCAATGTTTTTGAAAACACAAATATTCGTATTTGAAAACTTTTTGTTACGAGTATTTGCTATAAACTTACAGTAAAATAACAATAAACAAAAACCCATTTGATATTTATTTCATGTTGGTTATTTGCGTTCCCGTACACTTCTGCATTTGTTACTCTAAATTGAGAGAGGAAATTGTAGTTTGACAGTTCCACAGATTTAACCCAAGGTATATTCAACAAGGTAGAAGTGACAACTCAGTCGAGCTCTCATAGCTGACTGTTATGTAAAAAAATAAATTAACCCTTTGTTACGCATTTACCATATTTGATAAAATTCAATAGGCCGTATGCCCACTTAAACTTAAAATTGTTTGAAAAAATCGAGTAAAACTTAATTTTCTTAAATCAAGTTTTTTATAGGAGCTGAAGTAAAGATAAACGAATATGGCAATTTGGGATTATTCATAAGTCAGCATACCATGCCATCCTCTTAGATCTACAAGTAAAAATAGAAGCATTTCTGCTCATAAACACCAAAGCCGATATAATTTCTGCTCTTTTCTTATTTTAAGTAGGGATGTGCCGGGTTTCCGATAGATATCCGGAATCCGGCTTATCCGGCCGGATACTAGCTAAAATCCGTCCGGATTTCTGGTTTACGATTATAGAAATTCTATTTAAAAATCTAGTTCAGATTTTTTTTTTTTTTATTTCTATAATCAAATTTAATAGTATCTAATTAGTAATTAAGAGTTAAAAATGTATATNTTTTTTTTTTTTTTATTTCTATAATCAAATTTAATAGTATCTAATTAGTACCTAATTAAGAGTTAAAAATGTATACNATAGAAGCATTTCTGCTCATAAACACCAAAGCCGATATAATTTCTGCTCTTTTCTTATTTTAAGTAGGGATGTGCCGGGTTTCCGATAGATATCCGGAATCCGGCTTATCCGGCCGGATACTAGCTAAAATCCGTCCGGATTTCTGGTTTACGATTATAGAAATTCTATTTAAAAATCTAGTTCAGATTTTTTTTTTTTTATTTCTATAATCAAATTTAATAGTATCTAATTAGTAATTAAGAGTTAAAAATGTATATATCTTTCATTATGAAAAGAAGCATTTCCACATTACCGGTCAAGAACCCATTTCTATTTTCAACATAAATGCCACCCGATGCAGTAAACACTCTTTTTTAGGTCACTGGGAAAGGTTCGCAGAGATACTTCATTGCCAGTGTAAACAACTTTGGAAATTCTTACGATTATAGTAGGGAGGTTGCACATTTGTTAGTGTTTGGTCGGGCTTCTCCTCCGATTTGTGGCGTGCGCCTTGATGTTGTCACACAAAGCGGAGCGACCTGCATCTTTACGCCGACTATGAACGACGATTGTATTTTTATGGGAAGCTGTTTTCCTTGCTGAAATACATACATAAACCTTTTTTTATACCTTTCATGAGCATGAAATGGTATTATAACTTTGGTCCGATGTTTGTAAGTACCAGAACAAAAAGAGATAGACCCATGAAAATGTATACTTATATGATCAGAACGTCGAGCTGAGTTGATTTAGCCATGTCCGTCTGTCCGTCTGTCTGTCTGTTTGTATGCAATCTAGTCTCTCAGTTTTCGAGATATCCGGATCAAATTTGGTAGGTGGGTGTATTTTTATAATGTATTAATCATTTGTCGGAACCGGAAGAATCGGACCACTATAACATATAGCTCCCATACAACTGATTGTTCAGATATGAGATTTTTCGTTATAATTCATCCATTTATGTAGCTAGGACCATGAAATTTCGCGCTGTTTTCACTCATTATCAACAGAAGACTTACAGTGAAAATAACAAAGATCGGGTCACTATAACCTGCAGCCCCCATACAACTGATTGTTCAGATATGAGGTCTTTTATCATAACTCCTCCATTTATGCAGCTAGGAACATGAAATTTCGCACCATTTTCACTCATTATTAACAGAATACTTACAGTGAAAATAACAAGGATCGGATGACTACAACATATATCTTCCATACATCTGATTGTTCAGATATGGGATTTTACTGTAAAACTCCTTTATTTGAACAGCTAAAACCGATAAATTTCGTAAGATATTTTATAAATAATAATACAAAGTCTACTGAGAAAATCGTCAAAATCTATGCTGTATAAGCTTTATCTCCTATAGCACTGATTGTTCAGATACCAGTTTTTGCGATATATCTCCTTTATGTAGGAAACTAAACCCAATAAATTGTGTTACCGGTTTACATACCGATCACATAGCAGTGAAAATCACTTAGATTGGTGCCATATAAAGTATATCTTCCATACCTCTGATTGTTTAGATGCGATTTTTTATATAAGTATGTAACTCCTCTATCGATGTATGCAGATGTATTCAAAAGCAGTAATCTGTCAAAGTAAAATTTGCAGATGTTCATGAAAGGTATGAAGCCTTCGGCATAGCCGAAGACAGCGCTGTTCTGACTTGTTTTATTTTATGTTGGGTTCAACCGGGCTTGAATCCAGGTCCTGCGTAATGTTAGCGCGCACTGCTAACCGCTATACGACAGCGGCCGTCTATGACTCCACCAAATTAAAGGATCTTCTTGTCTGGGTATAAGGGGCAGCTGTACATATTTCTCCATTTCTCCATCGTATGGGTATCCACTAGGGATGTTGCGAATGTGGAATTTTAGACAACCGCGGATGCGAATGCGGATGCGAATATCTAACTGCTAACATCCGCGGATGCGGGTGCGAATGCGGATGTCAAGTATTTTTAAGAAACAATTAGAATCAAGCATAATTACGAGATCTTTGTTTAAACAGCGCTTACAAGCCAAACCAGATGTGTCAGGTT